GAAGCACTCCCAACAGTGCAGTGGACAGACCTGCAGCTTGCCGATCAGGATGTCACTGGTTCAAATCAAGTTCCAGTTTTCTGAAGTTTTCTGATCTCAACCTGGGCTACATGGGAAGCTAAATTGCACTTGGCCTTCCCACGGTTAAGGAAGCAAAAATCAGCCCGTTCTACTGACATGTGGCACCAGGTAGGGAAAGGTCAGGCTTGGCTGGGACACACTCGCCAGGCCAGTGTCCTGCCGACACTCACGACCAAACCTCACACATGCACAGTGGCCACTTGGATGTGGTATCAGAGGGCAACCAGTACCTCATCCCTCATCCCAGAGAGGAGGCCAGACCAGGAACAGAGAGACATAGGCCAGTAGTGAGAAAATTAGAAAAATAATTGGACACATTGAATAAAAAAAACATATCTAGCCCCGCCCCACCCCCACCACCAACACTCACTAACTCTCTGTTTCTGAAGATGCTGACCTATGCTGGGGAACAGGTCCCACATGACCCATTTACCAAGAGTTGAGCGATGGCAACATATTGAACCAGAAGGGGATCACAACCCAACCTGATCTTGACCTAAACCAATGCCCTATACACAGTACTCCTCCAGCCCAGTTCACCAGGGACCCAGATTCCCATCTAGTCTTAGCTTCTAAGAGTATTTTGCCTTAAGGCTTAAGATAATAATAAATAATAATCCTTACATTTGGTAAAGCGCATGCGAGCGAGTGGCTGAACGCAACTGCCACATGGACATGGTGTAAGCTCCATCTTACATTTGGCATGGCACAGAGCTGCAAAAGATCTAAATCAGACAGGATCTGATGAGAGTGGAACCATTTGGTTGGTTTCACGGCCCTGTTCAGGTTCACTGAGTGCTTTGATGAATCTGTTACAGATCTTTCATCTCAGTGGTGGAGCCAGTGGGAAAGTAACAGAGAAGGGTGAGAGAGAGGGACACGTAGCAAAGGTGCCTATGTGCAGAGAATGTCAAGGGATGACCTGAGAGAGGTCATTGAAATGCTGGGGAGTGGGGTGTGGGGATGGGGGTGGGGTGGGGGGTGGGGGGGAGGGGTGGGGGGGGTTTGATAGTCCACTGATCAGTGACGAGAGGGTATCAATTTAACATAATCAATGAGCAAATGGGGAGGTTAGACAGAATCCATATTGGCTTTGAAAAGGGAATTTGCAGGGTGTTCACAAAGCTCTGTTGCCCCACTGTGTTTTCTCTTACAATTAATTATTTATTTTCTGTTGCCGATGTCGAGAGTAACAACAACAAAACCACATGTGTTTAGTGCCTTTCACATTGGGAGGATGTCCCAAGGCGCTGGACAGTCAATGTTTCGGACCCAAGTTGGGGATTGAGATCGCGGAGGGTGGAGAGGAGAGGGGGAAGGAGAGTGACCAAAGGCACGGTTGAATAGGAGGGTCTTGAGATAGGTCTTGAAGGAGGCAAGGGAGGGGGTGAAGCAGAAGGACTGTAGGATGGAGTTCCAGAGGGTTGGGGCAGAGTGGGAGAAGGCCCACCCACCAATGGTGGGGTAGTCGAAGCGGGGGACGTGAAGCAGGCTGGAGCCCGCTGGGTGGAGGGAGCAGGCAGGTTGGTAGGGGTCTAGAAGATCACAGAGATAGGTGGGAGCGAGGCCATCAAAGGCTTTGAAAGTGAGGACCAGGATCTTGAACTGTATCCACTGTGTGATGGGAAGCCAGTGGAGTCGAGTGAGGATAGGGGTGACGGGGTCGCGGAGCCTGGGGCAGAAGAGGACACGGGCCGCAAAGTTCTGGATGATCTGCAACCTATGGAGGGAGGAGTTGGGGAGGCTGACAAATTAGGGAGTTATGAATGTATGTGTGAGGGTCTCGGCGGGCTGCGGTATGAGACAGTATCAGAGCCGGGTGATGTTGTGGAGGTGGGGGAAGGCAGAGTGGGACATGGCATGGATGTGGGGTAGAAAGGATAGTTGAGGATCGAACAAAACACCAAGGTTTCGGACTGGCTTAATAAGGTGGAGTGTGCCTGCATGGACGGCAATGCTTTCAGTGCCTGAGGTGTGGAGGCGCTGACGGGAGCCAATCAGGAGAGCCTCAGTCTTGTTGACATTCAACTGTAGAAAGTTAGCTCTCATCCAGGACTTGGAGTCCTGTAGCTCAGTGGTTAGAGCACTCGCTTTGCAAGCGAGAGACCTGAGTTCAATTCCAGGCAGAGGGTGAAACCTTGGGCAAGTTTTCTTACTCCACACAGAGCCTAATAATAATCCCTCCAAAACAAAAACAATAATAAATTGGTCATTTTCAATCCACAGCTGTTTGTGGGACATTGCTGTGCGCAATTGGCTGCCGGGTTTCGCCCACAAATATATAGTCAATTCACTTTACGGCATATTCTATGAAGCCCTTTGAGACATCTAGAAGACGTGAAAAGCGCTATATCAAATTCAAGGATTATTATTATTATTATTATTGATGTCTGACAGACATTCTGTCAGGAAGGCAGTGGTCTTGGAATTGAAGGTGGAGGCAGAGAGATAGAGTTAGGTGTTATCTGCATTCATGTGGAAATTGACCCCATGTCAGATGTCACCAAGAAGGAGCATACAGATATTGAAAAGGAGGGACCAAGGACAGAGCCATGAGGAACTCCACACGAGTTAGTGTGGGGGCGAATGGAGAAGCCGTTTGTGGAGATGAAGTGGAGGCGGTGTGAGAGGTAGGATCTGAACCATTCATGGACAGAACCATGAAGGTTGAGGTGAGAGGAGAGGTGGTGGATGAGAATAGGATGGTCAATGGTTTCGAAGGCAGCAGAGAGGTCAAGGGGGACGAAGAGGCAGAGGGAGTCCTTGTTGCAGATGGACAAAATGTCATTTGTCACTTTGAGCTGCGCTGTGGGTGGCACGGAAATCTGGTTGCAAGGGTTTGTGAATGTGTCAGGTGAAGGTGGAGAGGAAGGAGTGAAGCTGGGAAGCAACGACTCATTCCAGGACCTTGGAAAGGAGAGGGAGGTTGGAGATGGAGCGATAGTTTGAGAGTAGGGATGGGTTCAGGGATGTTTTTTTAAGGATAGGAGTGACAATGGCTGTTTTTAGAGGGGTGGAAACCGTGCCAGTGGACAGAGAGAGGTTTATGATATCTGTGAGTAGGGAGGCAAGGAGGTGGAACTGGGAGATAAGGAGAGGGGTAGGGATGGGGTCGAGGAGCAGGTGTTCAGTTTCTTGTGAGTTTGGTGATGGGGAGAGAAGTGGGCGACAAGTTCGAAGGTGTGGAGGGAGGGATGGGTAGGGGCCTGGGTGTAAGGGGGAGATAGGGAGAGAGGAGGGGGTAGTGGTTGGAAGGGCAGAGGCAGCTGAACATATCCCCTAGACTTTGACTTCAAGGAAGTCCAGCATCTCCTCACAGTTGGCGTTGGAGGAGAGGATGGGCGAGGCGTGAGAGAGTGGGCAGAGGACCCAGTTGGTGATGGAGAAGAGGAATCTGGGGTTGTCCTTGGCCTCCAAGATTGTCTTGGAGTAGAAGTCTATTTAATGGAGGTGAGGGTGGAGCGGTAAAATTTGTTAAGGTCCAGCCAGATCTGCCAATGGACTGTTAAGTTGGAGTTTGAACCAGATGTGTTTATCAGCACGTACCTGAGCCTTAAGAGAGTGGTGGTGGCTGGTGTACCAGTGTGACTTCCGTGAGTAGGAGACAGTTTTGGAAGTGAGGGGAGCAAGGGCATCGAGAGTGGTAGAGAGGGAGTTGTGGAGGAGAGTGTAACAATGTCTGACACCAGTAACTTCCTCCTCACCGACTTCATCCATGTTACAAGAAATGTCGCACCAAACATAGCGATGGATCATTATCTGCCGTGAAAATGATGGCCCTCACACACTCCTCTGGATGTGTAAATACAGTTAGGCACTTGTTCTGAATTCAATTAAGTACTTCTAAATATGCCTATCACCATTCTTGCACATGTTTCAGTTGTTGGTCAGTGCAATGTAGGAAAAAAACATGGGGTGACAGAACTTTGGGAACACCCTGTAGATAAATATGCAAAAAGGAGCACAACATAATGAATCGAATAGCTGTCCTCTGTGCCACACAGAACTTTCTATGTAAATTTCTATGGTTCTCTGGTAAGCACAATCAAAAATGAACTAGAAATGAATCGGACATTGTTTTGGAGGCAAAGCTGGCCGCTACTCTGTGCCAGCCATGTGCCACACAAAGCACTGGGCTGGGTGGCCACACACGACAACAACAACTTACAAATATATAGCGCCCTTCACCCAGGATTGCTTGAGAGTGGGGAGGTGACCATAAGCATGATCAAAAAGCAAGGTCTTCAGGTAGGATTTGAAAGTGGGGAGGGCCAGTGGGGAAGCAAAAGTGGTTTCCAATGGAATATTTGACAAGGGAATGTCAGAATTCAGCCAACCCTCTGTGGAGGTCTCCAGGCCGGTTCCTGAGCCAAGCAGGTCCACAGTACTCAGCGCACTGCTGATGCCAGCCCAGCCCAGCCTGGCTCATCGGTAGATCTTAGAATGACAGATCTGTCACTGGGGACAGAGGTTCTTGCACATCCAACCTGAGCCTAATACTCTACGAAATTAGCTAAATAAGGTGCATCCCTCCAGGGTTAGAGACTTTGGTGATGGGAAGACATTGATCTGATCAAAAAAGTCAGGCTAACCAGGAGAGAAATAACACCTTTCCTGAAGGAGACTCCAGTCAGTGGGCAGATCTCTCCCTGACAACGAGAGTGAGAGAGAGGAGGACTGAGTGAAGTCTGGAATCTCCAGCAGATCTGTACACTCCAAGACAAGCATCAAATGACCTGAGAAATTAAAATATTGGCCACTTCATTTATTCTGACTTTTTTATCTGAATGTCCCACTGCTCAAGCATGTAGGGGCTGATGTGATAATAATCGGTACAGTCACGATTTGAGGAGCCAAAGCCGCTGATAAATATCAACTCGGGGTCTTTTTCTGCTATAAATAGCAGTCACTGGCCACACTGAACACAAAGTCATCTTGCGACTAACTGTGAAGATGAAGTTCCTAATCCTCCTCTTTCTTGTCGGGCTCCTGGCGATGGAGTCAGCTGTTCAAGGTAAAGGCGCTCTCCTCTTCTGCTATAATCCACCCCTTTCCCTTCAGGTCCTGAGATCGGGTTAGGCTGCGGATGCTGGTGAGCTGAGTCATTCTTACACTCCACACTCGTCTCCGCTCCTCCTAATCCCTCTTCTCAGGCACCCTGTCCTCGTCTCCTTCATTGCTTTCTCCCTCTTCAATGCCCCTCAATCTCCATCTATTTCATACATTTATACCCCTCTCCCTCACCCATTTATCTGACCTCTCCTACATTTTTCTGTTCCTCTCTCCTAGGCCGCTCTATTCCTCTCTCCACACCCCTCTGTTCCCCTCTCCCACACACCTCTATTTCCCTCTCCCACACCACTCAATTTCTATTTCCCGTACATCACTCGTACAAACAATGATCGATGTCAAGATCCCCGTTCCCAGCCTCAAATCCCTCAACGCCCGGCCCCCAGGGAGCACCGGTCTGCTTCACGATCCTCCCCATCCGCCTTAACCACCGCACCATTGGAGGACTTTCAAGCATCCTGACGCCGCTCTGCGGAACTCCATCTTGGAGTACCTCTGACTCGATGCCTCAACTCGTTCAAGGTCCATGCCAAAACATAATTGTTTGACAGCCTTCAGTCATTTCCCCCCATCAGCAGCAATGCCCTGGAATACTGTGGACCTGCCTGGCTCAGGAACTCACTCCTGAGACCGCCACAGAGAATGGGCTCTATTCCGACATTCCTTTGCCAAGCATGTCACCTTTGAGCCAGTTCAGCCCCAAGGAGATCCCGCTTATCTCCCCCCACGGAGGATTGAGAGACAGAGAGAGGGCACATAGAGTGATAGACGAGAGAGAGAGAGAGCGCTACAGAAACAAGTTGAGTTCTTCCTGTTGTGAGACATGTTGAAGCTGCTATTTGCTCAACTCTGTTAACATTTAACCTCATTTGATCTCCTCACAGGTCAATATTACTACCCACCATACTATTACAGTAAGGATTAAACCTAACAATATCTCTTCTCACGGCTGCCCGTTCCCTCCGCTGTCTGGCCTGTGTGACGCTGACGATTCCTCTTGTTGTGAGATGTGGATTGACGTTTAGTCAATGACAATAACATTTATATGTTTATAAGATGTGGATACTCTTTTCAAAGATGGGCCAAATGGCCTCCTCTGTGCCGTATAATTATATGATTCTATGATATCATCTTCTCTTCACAGATTGGCCTTATCGTAAGTCATGAAACATACAGTATCTATGCCGTCATCGCTTTGGTTCGCCAAACCGTACCGTACAAACTGTTTCACAACGATGTTGATTGGCGAGCTCCACCACCCCCACACCCACCCATCAAAGTTTTGAGGCACTGTTAGGTGAAACAGAGACAGAGAGACAGACAGACAAACAGAGAGACAACGACAGAGAGAGAGATTGAGGAGACAGACAGCAAAACTAGAAACGCAAAGAGACTGAGAGAGAGAGAGAGAGACAGAGAGGGAGAAAGACAGAGAATGGGGGGGCAGAGAGAGAAAGAGCGAGAGGCAGAGACAAAAATATTTCTTTTGTTAAACCTGTGTTTTTCAGCTCGTAAAGAGCACATTGCATCTCCAACAGGGATTCAAAATCACAAGACTGTTCTTCCCTCTGATCCACTCACTGATGTTCTGACTGACCCACAACCTGCACAAGGCTCACACACTGATTGTATACGGGGAAACCTCACACAAGCTCTGAACCTCTCCTGCACCTCTCACCTCACACACACCACAATACAGGTTACATTTACAGAGTAACAGCCACATTCACCCAGGGTGGTGTCTCGGAGAGCTGCAGAGGCTCGGCGAGGGAGAGGGGGTGATCATAGGTGCCATTGAAGAGGCAGGTCTTAAGGTGGGAATTCAAGACAGATAAAGGGGGGGTGGGGGCTGGCGTGGAGGCATTGAGGCAGGGAAAATCCATTAAGAGTGCAGTGACTGTAAGCGTGACCGAATGGGAGACATGGAGCAGGGCCGGTGCTCACTCACTGAACAAAGGGAGTGGCTGTGCTGGTACGGCTTGAGGAGATCACAGAGGGAGGATGTGGGTGGTGGGGGTGGGGGGCGGGTTGACAGTGAGAAAGAATGAAATTCTTGAACTCGATATGCTGGAGGTAGGGAAATGGGGGAGATAGGCTTGGGGAGCCTGGTGTGGGGGAGAGAGGACACGAGAGAGAGGACACGAGCTGCAGGTGTTCTTGTGAGATGTAGAGTAACTGACGTTAATGTTTATATTTGTTTTCTCCTAACAGAACACAATGGTAAGTTTCATGAAACCGTTACTTATAATAATAATCCTTGCATTTGATTTTGCGCCTTATCATGTCTTTGAGACGTACCTTGCGAGTGTACTGGCTGTAAGCTTGACCGAGCGGGAGACATGGAGCAGGCTGGTGCTCACTGAACAAAGGGAGTGGTTGGTACGTTTTGAGGAGATCTGTGAGAAAGAATGAAATTCTTGAACTTGATCTGCTGAGTGGGCGGGTGGGGAGGTTTTGAGCCAAGGCGACCAGGGCGAGGATGGTGGCGATAGGTTTGTGGAGCCTGGTGCAGGAAAGGGAGGACATGAGATGAAGATTCTTATATTTTGAGATGTGGAGTAAAGTTTAGTCAATCATGTTAATGTTTATATTCGTTTCCTCCTGACAGGTCGGTGGTGGGGTGGTGGTAAGTTTCATTAACCGTACCTTGCGAGCTCTCTAACATGACCCCTCTTTGTTCAGCTTGGAGCCCCGTCCAACGAGAACGTTGATAGTGAAAATTATCAAGAGCTCAGTGGGAAGAATCCCTGGTCCCACACATGCTGCTGATAAGCTGGGCCGAGCCGGTCTTTGGTAGACAGTGCCCTGGAGAACTGTGGAGTCACTTGGCTCAGGAACTATGCCACTGATTTACATCGACTGTACAACATGAAAGAAGCCATTAGACTAACCAGCCTGTGCCGGTGTTTATACTTTATACAAGTCTCCTCTCTGGCACCCGTGCCTCTCACCTTGCACACACCACAGTAGAGAATCATCGTCCAGCTCCTATCAGACATTCTCATTAATGTTTCCAAACCACTCGATCCTCACCCTTAAAAACGACCTCTTCCTGACGCCAGCGATTCCTCTTGTTGGGAACTGTGGAGGGACATTTCGTCAGTGACATTAATGTTTATATCACGTTCTCTTCACAGCTTACTAGGATCCCAAGGTAAGAATCAAAATCAGAATATTTCATGTGTTAAAAGTTGTGTTTCCAACTCTCTGGAGAGTTTTCCGATAGGAATAGTATTTGAAGAGAGAACAAAGAACAGGGAAAGAGCAGGGCATGGGGTTAGAATAGAGATCTCTAGTGTTGGAGCGAGCACCAGCACAGACAGGATGGGTAGAGCAGGGGAATGGGATTAGAATAGAGAGCTCCAGGGGGGGAGCGAGCACAAGCAGACACGATGGGAGAAAGAGCATGCGAGCCCGATTAGTGCAGTGGGTGAGTGAGCACCCGCATCGATACGACGAGGAAGGAGTAGGGGGAATGAGATTAGAATAGAAAACTCCAGTGGGATCGGAACATGCTGTGATTTAATGATGAGAACCTTTACAGTTTGCACAGAGCCCCTGACGTGGGGCCTAAACCCACAACTCAATGCTTCACAGTTGTTGGGTTCTTTCTTACCGCGATTGGATCCTCGCCATTAACCAATAAAGGTCTGAACACAGAGTTGTACAATCACGACAGTTTATTCAACAATGTAACAGAATATACTACCGGATAAGCCGTCGTACCTGATGACCAGCACTCGGCTCTGCAACCTGTAGTTCTTACTCTGTGGAGCTCAACTTTTCTTTGTGTGTCTGTTGTATTTATACCCAGCTCGTTGGTGTACCCGTGATGCCTTGTGATGGTACTTTTCCACCAGCCTATGTGCCCTGCTGAGACGAGTGTACCTCCTTATCCAGCTCCTTGTCCGTACTCCCTGTTCTTCCTCAATCAGTATGTTCATAACCTTGCATTCCAGTCTCTAGTCAGGAGCCCCACTCACAGGTTGCTGCATATGAGCCATCTATTCTGTTAACCTGTTCTTATACTAACACAGGCGAGTGTGCGAGTGGCATAGTCAGGCTGACACCCAATTAATGTCCTCTTGTCTTTCAGGGAGCAACTGCAGCTCAGGCTGCCTTCCCAGAGCAGAACCTTTGTGATTTCTAAGGTCTGCCTCTGATCAATTTAATCATAGTTTCTGCTTCTTGGCTCTTTGAGAATTCACTCCAATGATCTGAGTGAAGAATCAAAGGTGTGGATATGATTGTAGCTCTGGATCAATTGTGCCTGTCCACCCATCAACCAATCCAACCATCCATCCACCCATCCACCTGTCAAATCATCCACCCACCCAACCACCCGTCCATGCATCCATCCATCCAGCCATCTATCTGTCCATCCATCTGGAGGAATCGATCCATTCTTGGCTCTGCTGCTTATGGTCCTCACGGTAAAGAGATGATTCTGACACATCCCCCAGTCCAACGCCACCCGGACAAGCTCTCAGCCATCACCTTCCTGTCCGTCAGCACCAGAGCTCGGGCCACGCCCTTCGGGGGCTGTGAGAGGCAACAATCTGTGGACAAGGTGCTCTGCTAACATCAATGAGACTGGTTGAGATACAACAAGACAAGACCATTCTTAAGCCTGGGAAGAACAGACCAACGCCCTCACTTAGAGTTGGGAGAAATCCCCTTTAAATGACCAGAGAAAATCCCCCCCCCTTCCAATCTGATAGATTTGGGGGTTCCCAATTCCATTGGAATGTGTGGGAAAGCCAGTCTCTCGCCCACGTTCTCATTCCCTCATGACTGCCATGAGGAGCCTCTGCTCTCCTGTGTGTCTCAGGATGAGGTGCTGTCCAGTGCGGACGGCTTGAGTCCGGTCTCTCTTTCCAAGTCGCTGTAAAGTCTGAGCCGATCGGCACAATCTGCATCTAATGCTTGTAATGAGATATCCTTTCTCTGCTTCACTGCAGTGTCACTAACCTGGTAATAAAGATTCAAAGCATCACAAAAAAGCCTGGTCTTGTCTAAAGTTGATCTACAACAACAACTTGTGTTGACGCAGCGCCCTTCATTGTGGGGTAACGTGTCAGTGGCGGAGCCCGATGTTAAGCGGGGGAGAAACGGAAGGCAATCGTAGGCACGCTCAAAGAGGAAGGTCTTCAACCGCGATCTGAAAATGGTGCATATGTGGAGGGGTAGAGCGGTCGTTTACTGGAAATGTCCTCAAAAAATTCTATGAGATTTGTCAAACATGACTTCCCTTTTGTAAAGCCATGTTGACTTGGCCTAATTATATTGTGCCCTAAATACCGCACTACCACATCCTTAATCAATGATTCTAAAATTTTTCCTATCACTGATGTGAGACTTCGTGGCCTATAGTTCCCCATCTTTTCCTTTGCACCTTTTTTAAATAGTGGTGTTACATTTGTGATCTTCCAATCCATGGGGACTGTTCCAGAATCCAAGGAATTTTGGAAGATCAGACATGAGGCCTCCACTATCTCATAAGCTCCTCTTTTAAAACCCTGGGATGCAAAACATCCGAACCAGGGGATTTGTCACTTTTTAGTGCTAACAGTTTCCCGAGCACCAATTCTCTAGTAATGAAAATTTCCCTAAGTTGCTCCCTGTCCTTTTCCCTTTGGCGCATCTCTATTGCTGGCAGACTGGTTGTGACACAGCGCCCTTCATTGTGGGTAACGTGTCAGTTTCCCAGACAATGGCGGAGCTTGACGCTGAGTGGTGGAGAGATGGGAGGTGAGCGTAGACACGTTTGAAGAGGAAGGTCTTCAGCCGCGATCTGAAAACGGCGCTAATGTGGAGGGGAAAGGCAGAGTGATAGAGAGTCACGGCTTAGTAGCTGAAGGCACAGCCATTGATAGTTGAGTGGAGGGAGCGATGAGGCACAACAGAGGGCCCTAGCAGGCTGAGGGAAGTGGTTGCCGAGGATTAGGGTTCAGCAGTTTGGAGTGGTAGGGAGATGCTGGGGCATGAAATGATTTGTAGGTAAAGTTGAGGATCTACTCAACTGCTCACTCAGAAACTCACGGCCTCATCACCATGGAGGACAGTGTCAGTCTCAGCTGTGTGGCCTCAACGGCATACCACAGTTCATAAAGGTTTGAGGACAAATCCAGAGGACAGGGTTGTAGTGGCTGAAACAAGATTGTCAATGATGGGACGGTGAGAGTCAGGAATGAGAAATAGACAGAAGTGGGGGGCATGGACAGGAGTGTAAGGCTAGAGAAAATTTCATAGATAGGGAGGAAATACTGTAAAAAGATTTGGTCAGGGCAAGGATTTTAAATTTGGTCTGCTTGGGAATTGAGATCCAGGTGCCTGGTGTAGTTGGGCAAGATGGGTATGTGGAGCCTGGTGAAGAGGAGGATACAGGCTATGTATTTTTGGAAATGTTGGAGCTTGTGAAGGGTGGAGCTCGGGAGGCTAGTGAGGAGAGTGTTGGTCAGTAATTTGGCCTGAGAGTCAGTCTATAATCATAGCGTTCCCACTCACTTCAGGATGAGGCGTGTGTTTCCTTTTGGAACCCAGGTTGATGTTTAAAGGTTTAAGCTATGTTTAAGTGAACACATCTTACACCACATCCTACACCGCGACCCTCTAAACAACCGGAGGCTTTAAGTGTTGGATCCTTTGTTCACCAACTTCACGTAAACACGCACGCCCAGGAGACTGAGCCCAGATGCTTGTAACAACCACAAAACCCTGAATTTATTCCAGAGATTGCTCTTCCCCAACACCAGGACTGAGTCATGGGGATAAACCATGACATGCTCCCAGAGCAATGGGTGGGTAGAAGGGAGTTCCAGCTAAACAACAACAACAAAATTACATTGTAAAGCGCTTTTCACGTCGGGAGGATGTTCCAAGGCGCTGAACAGTCAGAGATCAGGACCCGAGCTTGAGGGAGGTCAGGGTTGGGATGAGGGATGGCAGAGGGGGTAGGAGGGCAGCTGAAGGTACAATCAAAAAAGAGGCTTTTGAGTCGTGTCTTGAAGGAGGCAAGAGAGGGAGCAAGGCGAAGGGTTTGTGGGATGGAGTTCCAAAGGAGTGGGGGCAGAGAGGCTGAAAGCCTGGCTGCCAATGTTAGGACATGTTGGGCAATAGACCTGGAGCAGGCCGGAGCCTGATCAGTGGAGGGAGCAGACAGGTTGATAGGGGGTCAGCGGGTCAGAGATGTAGGAGGGGCAAGGCCGGGGAGGGCCTTGAAAGTGAGGACAAGGATTTTGAATTCTATCCTCTGAGGGCTGGGGAGCCAGAGGAGCTGGGCGAGGGTTGGGAGGGAAGCTTGTGAAGGGAAGAGTTGGGGAGGCTGACAAGGAGGGAGTTTCCATAGTCGAGCCTTGAGGGGACAAATGAGAGTATCGATGGCCTGAGGGGTGAGGCAATGGGGGGGTCGGGCAATGTTGCAAAGGTGAAGGAAAGCAGAGCAGGTCATGACACAGATATGGGGGAGAAAGGACAGTTGAGGGTCGAATAAGATGCCCAGGTTCCTAACTGGTTCGGTGAGGTGGAGTGTGCATCCATGGATGATGGTGCTGCCAGCGCCTGAGGTGCTGAGGCACTGGCGCAAGCCAATTAAGAGGGCCTCAGTCTTGCTGACATTCAGCTGTAGAAAGTTGGCTCTCATCTAGGACTTGATGTCAGACAGACAGTCTATCAGGACGTCAGTTGTCCTGGATTCGAGGGTGGAGGTGGAGCAAGGTGGAGCATATAGAGGTTGAATAGGAGGGGACCAAGGACAGAGCCTTGAGGAACACCACACGAGACTGTGCAGGGGCTAGAAGAGAAACCGTTGGTGGAGACAAATTGGAGGCAGTGTGAGAGATAAGACCTGAACCATTCAAGGACAGAAGCTTGAAGGTTGAGGTGAGAGGAGAGATGTTCAAGGAGGATAGAATAGTTCACGGTATCAAAGGCAGCAGAGAGGTTGAGGAGGACAAGGAGGCAGAGGGAGCCCTGGTCACAGATGGACAAAATGTCGTATGTCACCTTGACCAGAGCAGTTTCCGTTGGAGGGGCTCGTGAAGGGAGTGGTAGGACAGGAATGAGTGAAGCTGGGACTCTTTCAAGGACCTTCGAAAGAAAAGGGAGGTTGGAAATTGGCCAGTAGTTAGAAGGCAGGGATGGATCCAGAGAAGATTTTTTCAAGATGGGGGTGATTATAGCTGTTTTTAGGGGGGTGGGAACGGTACCAGATGAAAGGAAGAGATTGATGGTGTCGGAGAGGAGAAGGATGAGGAGGTGGAGCTGGGAGGTAAGGAGAGGGGTGGGAATGGGGTCAAAGGAGCAGGTGATATGTTTCTTGATGGATATGGTAGTGATGAGAGAGGAGGGGGAGACAGGTTCGAAAATGTGTAGGAAAGAATGGGGTAGGAGTCGGAGTGTTGGGGGGAGATGGGGAGGGAGTGGCGGTTAGAAGGGCGGAGCCAACTGAACAGACGCCCTCGATTTTGGACTTGAAGAAATCCAGCATCTCCTCACATTCAGAGCTTAAAGCATCAATTAGCTCTGTTAAAGAACTGGGAATGTGTCTGTTTGGGAACACTAAGGGTACAGGAGAGGAGATCGATGTCTGTGGACAGAAAGCTGTGGCTGTTTATTGGAGATGTCAGCTTATAATAATAGTAATCCTTGCACTTGATATAGCGCCTCATCATGTCGTTGAGACATCTCAAAGCGCTTCATAGAATGTACTGTAAAGTGAATTATCTGTGGGTGAAACGTGGCAGCCAGTTGCACACATCAATGTCCCACAAACAACCAAGAATTGAACAACACAATTTTGTGAATGAGCTACCCCTGAGCTGTGCTGTGCATGATCTCGTTGCCACCCCTGCTCACTGACAGTGTGAAAGCTGGTGATGTGAGCACTGACTGGGGCAGATTTGTCCCATCTCCAGCAGGGTTACTGTGAGATTAGAGCTTGCGAGAAAGTTATTTTGGCAGGAAAATTTAATTTAATTTAGAAGCAATTACCTCGAGGCTAGGTTTAAAGCTATGATTTAACGGCAGGAGGTAAACACCCAGCGCTGGACACAAAATCACTAGCTTTACAAAGAGCCAACAGCCTGAAATAATCCAGAAACCCATTGCTTCACATTATCACGGAAGTGAAGCAGCACTTAATGTTAGATTTAATTCCTCTCTTCAGTTTGTCAAATGAATAGTCACAAAGTATATATATACATATACATAAATATATATATAAATCTGGAGTAAATATGGAATTACTACAATTTCTCTGGTTATCAGGATGTGATGTCAGGGGACTTCAGCAGCTCACTTGGATCATTCTGGAGATGGAGGTTGTGGGATTGAATTGCAGTGGATCCACTTTCGAGGAGGGAAGGGGTAAGCGGGGTCTCTCTTTTCCTGCGACTTCTGTTTTTAATTCACTGAGCAACCAGCTGGGTTCAGGACCAACCAATTGTGGCAACAGTCTCCTTGGGGCTGAACTGGCAATGAAATGTTGGAGTTGAGCCAGCCCTCTGTGGCAGTCTCGGTAGTCCAGTTCCTGAGCCAGGTGGGTCTGCAGTATTCCAGGGCACTGCTGATGACAGCACAACCAGCCTGCCTCATTGACAGGACCTGGAAGGGAAGACCAGTCACTGGGGGCAGGGAACAGCGAGGAACATTAAGGTCCCTCTCAGGTGGCCGGCAAAAGTTCACGGAGAGGTAAAGAGAAGAAAAAGGGGAAGGAGCCAGAGAGAAAGAATATCAGACACACGACCAAGGCAGCATGAGGGAAGAACAGAAAGTCCGAAACCCCCAAAAAAGAGTGGACATTCTGTCAAACATTCTGCCAACCCCCTCAACACCATCAAGATGACAATCGTGGAGGGGACTGGAGACAGAGGGACCACGAACAAGGTGAAAATAACATAAGATGTAAGTCTGTCTGTCTCTCCCCATAAAGGGGGGAGCAGCAGAGCCTGGAATATTGACTCATCATCTGGTAAGTGAAGGAATAGCCCAAAAGTGTAAGTGC